CTTCAGGACCAGTGCTCTATCCACCTAGTTGCCCCTCTAGTCTTCTTTAACATGAGCTGAATATTTCCATTTTCTACAACCTTTCCTTATATGACTTGGCATCTCAATTCACATTGTTTTACCACCTCAGGAGCAAGAGCAAATTCTGGAATTTTGTGTTAATGAGAACCCAGAAAATTATGATGAAGTACCTGGAAATAGTAATAACTTACATTTCTATAGCAATTTATGGGTTTGAAAAAGTTCATTCCTCATAATAACATTGTGAGATATCCAACACACATTTTATTATCCTCATATTACAGATTATAGAAATTGAAATTCAGAGAAATTGTGACTTGTTCGTGGTCACAGAGCTAGTCCTTCTTGTAACTGAATTTTTATTCAAACTGCAAGTCTAGTGATTTTTTTTTGAGACTAAGTCTCCTTAGTTTTGCATAGGCTAGAAATGTAGGAGCTACTTCTGAATCTAATCCCACTTTAATCAGAATATTTTAATTACTTCATTTGGCCCCTGGACTGATTTGCCTCTCCTTGGGCAAACTGGTAATACACACCCACACACACACACACACACACACACACACACACACACACACGCACACACACAAATCCTAAGAACTCAGAATATTAAAGCTGAATTTAGTGCAGACACTTGACTGACTCTAGCCCATTGCAGCTCAGAACTCTCTACCTGAAGAGATCCATCAGCCTCATCCTCCAGGCAGCAAGGATTATAGGTATGCATTCCCAGACATAGCCAGTGTTTTCTTTTTTTTTTCCTTCTCTAAAACACAACACCTGAAAATCCTGGAAGAGGGAAGAGGAAATTCTAGCTATACCCAGATGGTCCCAAATTGGGCAATTTCTCCAATTGGCATCATGTGGATATAGTCTTGTCTAAACATGCTTTCCTGAAGAAGTGTCAAAAATTTCAAGTTGACCAGAATCAAATAAAAATCTGTTGGGAAATGTTTGATAACTTAAATAAAAATGCAATAAAACATAGATAAATGTTAATGCCTTGATTTCTAAGTCAATAAGTGGTCCTCATAGATCCTTATGTATATTCTAGTTGCTTTCACTTCAATTTGATTTTGACACCACTGCTCAGGTTAGTATATCAAATATTTGTCTTAAATATGGTACTCAGAAGGGAATGGAACACTTCAGATATGATCTCAGTACCACAGAGTACAGTTGGATTCTTATCTTTCTTGATCTGAACACTGAAGACAACTTTGGTACATAGAAGCCTTGGGAAAGAACTGTTATGGATAGCTGAGTTTTTCAGGAAGCTGAGACAGAATCCTTTGTGTATTTCTTAATTCAAAGATCTGTGAATTCATTCATGTGGATAATTTCTCCACCAGATATAGAGAATTACATATCCATGATATTAAAAAGATCTGTTCTTTTCCTTCCTCCCAAACAGTTTTGTATTTAATTCCATTACATTTGTGCTTTTAAAATATTTATTCACTTTGTATTCATTCTATATATACTTATATGTGTACTGGTTGTCTCCTCATTAGAATGCAAGCTTCTGAGTCAAATTTATAAAATACCCTTAGAGACCTCTCTCTGGGTAAATCTGTTAATCGACTTCCCTTGGAAATTGTTATTCAGGGATCTAGCTATATTCAACCCACATTTTTTTTTTCTGTTGACCAGAAGGTAATCATGGTTTTTTTTCTATTATTATTTTTCAGATCTCTTGATGAAATAGGGATCTACCATAGCTACAGCATATCTTTGGGTTATTCCAGTAGCACCAGGTTTTTTTTTTGCTTGTTTTTGTTTTTTAAAGGAAATAAGTCTAGTTTGAAATGGTCTTATCTTCTTGAAATCACTATTTGTGATCATGCCTCTTATAAGAGTTCATAAGCCATATGTTTAATGATCCATTATAGAATTTTGATGTAAGATTACCAATCTAGAATTCCTAAAATCTTTTTTTCCTCATATGACATTTGCCTCTTTCCACTCTTCTAGAACCAGAACCTCTATTTTTTATGATTTTTCAAATAGTATTAATAGTTCAGAGATCATATTTGGTTCTTCTAGACATTTAACTTTTTAAAACATGATGGTTATTGTTTGTTTTCCTTAACAATATTTGTTCTTCTCATAAAAACTTGAAGACCATTATCCTTCATAGAAAAAAAATGAAGGAGAATATAAGTTAAGTACTTTCAATTTCTCTGTGTCAACTGGTAGCACTATGTCACTATTACCCAGAAGCAGTCAAGAAGTTATCTTCTTTACTTATTTTGCTTGAACTCAGCTTATTATAAAAGAAAAAAAACAAATAAATGGACACTGGAATTTATGATTGCTGTGCCAGCATCAATGATATTTGAAAGGTCATGAATTTTTTCACAACATTTTTCCAAGACCTCTTTATAATTTTGATGTACACCTAGGTTCCAATTAGTGAAAATAATGAATCCCCTAAAATGGTCACATTATTTGACTTCACACTGTATGTTTTCATTGTCAACAATCACAGCATATTTTACATAATTATAACTTCTAATAGTGCAAATTTGAATACATGTAGATATGTCAGAGGTTTCATTATTTTCACTAATTAGGATGCAATCGCAGTTATTTGCTACAGCATGCTGGTTTATTTGTCCTTGGTTTCATACCCTTTTTTTTTCAAATTTTGACTTTTTTTACATTTGTATTGATCAGCAATCTCTTATTCAATCACTAGGTTTTTGGTGTTGTCCTGTTAATCTTCTTCATTTATATATTTTGGACAATTTGCTATAAAAACATCTTCTGTCTCTTACATTTGGTTGAGGAATTGGTAGTGTATTCTCCTAAGGATATCATTTCTTATGTTTTAACTGAATGCTCTCCATTATGTTTCAATATTCAAGTTTTTGAATTTTCTCCTTCCTAGAATATATCTTCTTGGCTTATGGTACAACTCTCACTAAATTTTAGATCTTTAATCAACATTTTGTTCTTCTATTGCAGTATTCTTGTCACCATTCCCATCCTTCCAAGCCTTTATGATATCTGTGAGATCCTGGAGTTATCATGCAGCTCTTAAAGTCCCTAAGTATTGTTCTTCACCCTCTTTTCTATAATTGTTTTTTGAGAACTACTAGGTATCTCTTCTAAAAATATCATTCTTTTATTTTCTCTCTCATTCTTCATAGTAATCTTGACATTTTCCTCCATGCTCTTTATATTTTAAACCAAAACTCCTGAGATATTCAAGTCTTCTGTGAAGGTAGGCTCTTCTTCCTTTCTAGGACCCACAGGCCTTACCAAAAGCCCATCATTCAGGCATCAAAAACTATTGTATAGGGAAATCAGTTACAACTGACCTTTCATTAAAGGCTATCTATATAATCAGATGCTTTTTTCATACAATCAAATTCATAGACTGTTAAGATGGAAAGGAACTTGGCAATTATCTAGTCCTAACCTCACTCCCAATTTTTACAATATATAAACATACAAACTCCACCTCAACATTTCTACGAATAGGGAAATCTCTATCCTCTTCATGTCCTCCTTTATCTTCAAAATGCACTGACTCCAAAGCGAAAAAATTACAAAAACACCGTGATTTACCCATGACCTTAAGTTTCCTACCTATGATGTTAAAGTCTCTAAAAATAAAGCCCGGGTTTCTTTGGCTATGTTATTCATTTTCACATGAATTTACTAAAGGTTCTTTTTTTCGTTATTAATATTATATTTCACTAAATGAAAACTCCAACTACCTGAGTTAATGAGCTCTCTAAAGAAAGAAACCCACTCACAGGGAGTGACTTAGGCACTAGGGAGATGCAGACCATTATCTCTCAGCTATGTGCCAATTACATTTTTATGCATTCAGAGTGGAAGGGATAGGTATCTGCAGTTAAATTTTTATGTATTACCACTTATCAAAGTGAAATAAATATCAATCAAAAGAATTATACTTACAAGAGTATTCATCAAGAGTCAGAGGAATGAAATGCATATCTGTGATTCAATGTTTATTCATCACTTCATCAGTCAGGGAAATAAATGTTCTTTAGGGTATCTGTTGACATGTTTTGTGTAAGGAAAAGGAATATCTGGGGGTTAAACTTGTGTGTTGCTAATTTAAGGAGAGAAATAAATATCTGTCAGTGACATGCTTAGTAATTGGAACAGCTCTGGAGAGTTTGCACAGGGACAGTATTCACCCAAATAGCCTTCTCAAAACTTTTCATCAGAAAATCTACCCTGAATGGTTACTATTTCAAGTTTGGTAGTGAGAATAACAGTACTTATGGGTCAGTGATTTCCTCAAGTATTTATATGACAGCTAACTGACAACATATCTAATACAGACCACATCATAGATTATTATTTGTAAGCAACTTCACCGAAAATTCTACAGTCAGCAAAATTAGGGACTCTGGTTTGGAAATGTCTTATTAATTTGATAGGAAAATACATTATGTTTCAAGGGTGGCTTCCTATTTTTCCTATATTCTATGACTGAGTAATCTTTCATGAAGCTAATTGCTCCCCAAGTTACCAAATTTTGTGTATGAATGAGTACTTCAGAAATGTATTGAGTTTCAAGCAAAATTAAACCCTTTGGAGCTCTGGGAGCATGCTTTACTACTGAAATACTATTATAAAGCTAGAAGCACCATATTCTAAGTCTGTTATTCTTTACAGAGTGACCTATGGAAAACTATGTAATGTCAAATCAAAACATTTCACAAATCTTGCCTATCTGAGTTATTTTGAGAGTTGTTAATTAAAATAATATCAGTTATTATTGCTTAATACAGGTTCTTTGAAATGTTGGAATGTTGAAACATAAAAACTGTTATGAAATTCTGGCATATGACCGGTAAGGGGGAAAAAATCTCCATAGTCATAATTTAAGAAGGACCTGTGGGATTCTTCTCTAATTATCCTATGTGGAACTCCCATAAATGTTACATTAGATTCTGAGGACACCATTGGGACCTTGGACAACTCACCTAATTTGCCAAAACCCCTTCTGGAGCACATTTTTGGAACTCTTTGTCATTTGTTAGGAAGAGATTTCATTGCTTGCCACTTTGATTTGGATGATTTCTCCTAAAGACTGAGACAACCAGATTCAATCTGCTTGGGCTGGACCCTGTCATCTAGAAATAAGATTAGTGTGTGTATATGCAGATAGAGAAAGAAAAAAATAATTAATGAGTATCTTTGAGTACAGCCTCATGGTTATGCAGAATACCTGTTTATAGGATTAACCAACTGGTTAATGGAGTCTACTTATTCTAGACTTGTATAGTTATAAAAGGCTAGCTTCTACTATCTTACTGCAAAACTAAAGAGTTCTTAAAGCCGTAAGCCATTCATAGTTTACCTGTAATTGGTTTACTGAGTGATTGTTTTTGCAGTTTCATTTGAAAGAACCAGACCAAGACTGGAGAGGCTGGATGGGAATGCACGGTCTCCTTGTTTTGCTTTGTTTAGTTTTGTTTGTATGAGTGAGCATTTCACCAGTTTTGAAATCCTAGACCTAATAACATAAAACTTAACCCACTATCCTATGTGCCTGACATTCCAATGCCCTGAAGTAGAAGTATAACTAATAGATCATAAAAGAGTGGTCCTTGACAACAATACTCTGTTGCCATACCTTGCTTAGAAGGAATTTTTTTTCATCTGTTCTCTCCAATCCTACCTCATCTCCCACCTTGCCACCCTAGACTTAACATTACCAGTACTGACCTCCTCTATATCTTCCTTCTACACCAATCTTCGCCTATAATACTTTGCTATATTCAGCCCCGAACTCAACTCACCCTACCTATTTTTCATCTGTCTAGGCCTTATGACCTGCAGAAGGACAATTATAGGAGGCAGAAGGGACTGGAATAACACACAGGCTATAGAAGTCTAGCATATAAACTAAGCTAAATATTTATGATTGCTCCTATATCTTGTTGTTAATTACCATTGAAGTCTCCATATCTAACTCCTCATGTCAATTATTTGATTACTTTTAAGATATCTCTCTTCAGAAAACCTTTCATTAAAAGCCTGTTTTCCTCAGATGGATCTGCTTGTTTCTACCTTCCCTATTTGAATGTTCACTGCCTTCTGAGTTGCTACATAGGCTGCAGCTTTGGACTGCCTCTGCCAGTCCAGCTCGTTGCTGACATTACTTATCCCTTGGATCTTGAAATGTAGCCTGACTGAGAACCGCTCAGTATGGGTCCCCAATTCAGATCCAATCTTATCTCTAGTGGGAAGCAGACCATACTTTTTCCCTATCTGTGTCTTAGACAATTGGGACTATAAGTAAATCAGTAAAGTCACACATGGAATCCTACTCCATCTGCAAAAAGCAAGTGAATTTTACTGTTTTCCTTGGCTAATAAAAAGAAAAAGTAAAGAAAAAAAATAAATTCATTTAGGTGACCCTACTCAAGTTTATTTTTAAACAGCTAGATATTAAATGCATAAAATAAAACATATAAGATTACACAGGAAACCAATTATATTGATATTGTTTTCAAACAATTTTTAAAAGTTCATAGACCTCAGGTTAAGAATCCCTGATTTAGAAAGAAACAAATTTATCAACATGAAAAAGCTTTGACTTTCTTTCTCATTTAGTAAGTAAACAAATAGTAAACATATGGTAAATGAGTAAACAAATAATAAAACACATAGTAAGTAAACAAGTCATTCAATGATCAAGGATCAATAGGTGTTAAATAAATACAACCCTATGCCAGTCAAATTATGACAATTAGATCATTCATTGTATATTCACTGTATTAGGAGTAGGCCTGGCACCAATACCTTGTTAAATCAGGTTTGACACTGAGACAAAATGAAGTCATCACAAGTCATTGAACAAAAGGAAGTTGCTTTTGTCCTAACGCAGCAAGTGCATGCAACAAGGATGCGGTTGCACTTAGCTTCTATAGATGCAGCTCGCTAGTTGCCATGAGAAATGCATCTAGTTAGCAGGGCAGGATATTATGATTTTTTTGGTGTTCAGAAATCTACTAAGGAGGGCTAGGAAGCAGGCTGACTCCAAGTAGATGGGAATTTTTATGCCCTTAGTTGAACAGGAAGCTGTGTCAAGGGTGGTAGAAACTAATCAAGTCCCAAGGAAAACTGTAGTACTATGTGGGTAAAAAAAAAAATCTAATGGTGAAGTACAGGAACCCTGGACCTATTACACATAGTAACTCCTGGGCTGACTTTTTCTTTTCTTTTTTTTTTTGTTTCCATTGTGAATATGACTGCATAATAAGTTCAGAATAGATTATTATTATAATTTTAATTTGCTGGGATATAACTGAAAAAAAACTGTGATGTAATTCCTGGTCTTTAAAAGAAAATTGAATACACAGATGAAAGCATTTGAGGTTGGAAAACATGATGCAAGAGGAAATTCAGTATCTTCACTGATATATTTCTTTATTCTACAATAAATCTATAATAAATAATCACCATGGTGATTTTTACTGCAAGACATCACTCGAAATTAGAACATTCATATTTACCTTGCAAATAAGATTTATAATGTCCAAATAAAAGACCAGTACAAGTATCCTCCAGTGCTTCAGTAATGTCAATCATTTAGCTGTTAAGATCCAAAGACCTGCACACCTCCAAAATGTAACTCATCCAAAAACTTTTCAAATATAAAAACAAAGCTGGAGAGTTTAAATCAATGATACTAACTGTAATCTATCCAATCTTGCCCATCATATGCAACTCTATTTTCTGTTCTCATAAAATTGTATCATAAGGGGTCAAGCATGATACATTCAATGAAAAGTAAGTTTATTTCAAATCTTGAACTTGTATAACAATGTTGAAAGATTTACTGTGATTTATGAAAGATGGTATAATTATTAGGAGTGTAAGTCACGTATTATGTTAGGTAACAGCTAAATGTAACCATCTAAGTTGTAGATGGTAAATCTGACAACAAAAAAAAAGAAAGAAAACTCTAACTATGATAATTCAACACACTAGGACAGAAAATATGAGCGTAAGGATATTTCAGATTGAACCAGCAACGAATCATTAATTTATAAATAACAATGATAATATTTGGCTGAGAGCATGGATATAATAAAGGTATATTTTCAACATGAAAACTGGCCTATGTGAAATTTCCTGGGGACAGAGAAATTCTATGACAATATATATGTCGTGAAGGATTTCAACAGTGCCAAGTGTTTCCTGGAAATTGACAAGAGTCAGGTTACTTAGAAACTTGTCAAGGGCCCAGAAGCTGATTATACAGGTGGAATCACATTTCTCATCAGATCACTGCTATGGTTGGCTGAACACATGTGTTAACAATAGCAGCAGGGGTAGCTAGGTGGCACAGCCCTGAAGTCAGGAGGAACTAAGTTGAAATCCAGCCTCAGACCACACACTTGCCACTTATTAGCTGTATGACCCTGGGCAAGTCACTTAACCCCAGTTGCCTTAAAAAATATATAGAGATAGCAGCAGCCACTTCTACTTCTTGTTCAATTGTGGATTTTTTTTTTTTTGGCTAAGCCATTGGGGTTGCCCAGGGTCACACAACTAGTAAGTACCAAGTGTCTGAGGTTGGATTTGACCTCAGGTCCTTCTGATTGCAGGGCTGGTGCTCTATTCACTGTGCCACCTAGCTTCTCCTCAGTTGTGGATTTGGGGCATCATGTAATGAACTAAGGGTTAAAAGAAAAGTATATAATCCTGAATTCAAGAATCTTATGAGGCCACAGATCAAGAGATCACAAAAAATTATACGGGATCACACATGCCATCTAATGACTAACTGGGGTTCTTAATTTGAGCTCCATCAAATTCTTTCCTCATTTAGCCTTTAGTTTCCTTTATAATCATATATATTTTATTTTAATAATTTAAAAGGTATTATTCTTTGAAGGGATTTTAACCACACTATCCTAAGACACAAAAAGAGATGAAGTTACCCTGATCTAGTCTTACCCAGATTATGAATCCTATAGAAAATATCACTTTTCTTTGGGGGGGGGTGATCCAGCATTAGAAGAAAGAAGGAAGAAAGGATGGAAGGAAGAAAAGAAAGAAGGAAGGAAGGACAAGAAGGAGGAAAGAAGCATTTGTTAACTACCTACTATGTGCCTGTGTGAAGCACTTTACAAATAATGCTATTAATATTCCCATTTTACAATTGAGGAAATTGAGGCAGATAAGGGTTAAGTGACTAGTCCTGAGTCACATAACTAGTATGTGTCTGAGGCTGGATTTGAACTCAGGGCTTCTTGATTCGGGACCCAGCAGTCTATATATTGTGCCACTTAGCTCCCACATAAGAAAGCTTACTATGCCTCAAAGTAACACATTTTACTTTTAGAATTCTAATTTATAGTAAAGTTTCTTTCTTTCTCTTTTCTTTTGCTAATAGAAACAAAATAAACTTTTGTGCTACTATTATTTATAGATTTTTTCTATCTCCCTCCAATTTGAAGAATGTCATGTCTCTCTTCTTCCAAAGAGAGGTATTATGTCTTCATGTAAAAAGGTAGAAAAAAAGAATCAAGATTGATCTCAAAAAATACATATAAATATTCCAAATATATTCAGAAACACTGAAACATATATATACAACATTTATGTGTATACACATATATATGTAGTATGTATTTGGTTAAGGTACATAGAATAGTGAAAGTTAAGTAGGGACTAAGTTTGAATCTGTATTTTGCCAGTCATTAGGGAAAGCTAATTATAGGAGTCAGTTTGGTAAAGAAATAGAGAAGTATAAAAGACAGGTTGTTCATAGGAAGAGAAAAATAGAAATATACAAGGGATATATTTTTTGTTTGTTGTTAAGAATCAGCATAATATGGTAAAAGAATCCTGGAGTCAGGAAGTCTTGGGTTCACATTCTCCTTTACCTCAGGTACAAATTAATCACACATCTACTTCATTCGTTTTTTCTGAGGTCTTTATTTGGGTTATTTGGGTCTCACAGGGATGCCGGTTAGGTCTATGCACAAGGAAAGATCTTTCCTGTATTGAAACGCAGCGTAAGGTTGCTATTTGCTATTCACATTAGCCTCTCAAATTATATTTGTTTAAAGAATTTAGTAACAATGTATAGTCAGGGTACATATAATAAAATTATTCCTGTAGTTTTAAAACTACAGAAAGACTTTTTGGAATAGAGAGATAGATGGATGCTAGAGATATCACATATGCACATATATAATACATATAATCAATAACTAAATATTTAATTAGTACTTACTATGTGCCAGGCACTGTGCCAAGCACTACTATGAAGCCCTGACAAGTTGTAGATCCATCCAACCTCCACTTGAAGGGGAATTTGCTTTCTCCAAGACATTTGGAAATAGTTTTAAACTCTAAGTAGAGGCAGTGTAGTATACTAGAAAGAGCTGGCCTATGGGCCAAGAAGACCAGCCTTCAAAACCTGCCTCTAACTCAAACTGGCTTTATGACCCTAGCCCAAGTCACTTAACCTTTCACTGCCTCAGAAAACTCTCTAAGATGAAGCTGTAGAAAAGAGGCCATACCATATTGATAGAGGAAGTTCTTCACTAGGCTTCCCTTATACCAGTGAAATGAAATCTAATCTCTATGGTTTTAAATATCATCAAATGCTTCCTTGCGTTAAATTGATTCTCCTTGTAATGCTACTGATTGCTCTTAGTTATTCCCAGAGTGGCCAAGCAGAATAAGACATTTTTCTCCAAAACCCAGCCCTTCAGATATCTAAAGACGGCTATCTTCTCTTCTGTAAGCTAAACAAGCTGTATTGCTTCAACACTGTTAATGAGAAGATCCTATGCAGATTTTTCTCATTTGTCCCTTCATCCTTTAAAGAATAATTTTGAGAGACAGACAGACAAACAGAGAGAGACAGAGACACAGAAACAGAGACAGAGAAGCAAAGACACAAAAACAGAATATCCTTAAAGAAAGACAGAGAAGTAGAGAGACGGAAACAGGCATGCAAGCAGGCAGATAGGCAGACAGAAAAAGACAGTGAGACAAAGATACAGCAAGACAGAAAGAAAAATCTCCAATTCTTGATAACTGAAATCTCTCACTTCTACAACATCTCCCCCCTGTGCCACTCTGGTGGTCTACTATTTGACCTTCTCATCTGTTTCCTTTTTCTATCCATTTGATTGGAAGAATAGTGCAAAAACAAAACTTCTTGTGCTTTACTGTCTATCAATTTCATTCAAAAGTCCTCCACCATTATTCCCCATTCTAGTTCCTGGATTTTTTTCACAGCGGTACCCTGTTTCAAAATTCAACAAGGTCTCATTCCCCATTTGTGCCCATTCTCTTTCTTTTAAATAATGCATATTTATCCAGTGACATTTTAGGCATTTTTTCCCCCAGGGATACATTCCAGAGTTTTATTCCACCCTGTTTCAGTGATCAAAAGTACTTCCTGGAATGAGAACCTCTAATCCTCTTGTTCATTGACTAAATTTGCATATATGTATATAGACAATTGAGGTTTATGGGTTTATGGCTGTCTCCTTTCTTGCATTTTTTTCTCCAAATATGAATTTCCAAGTCTATCAACTCGTATTTTTCTTCTTTTATTGTACTTGCTTTCCATAGTATCTAAGTGAATAAACATAGTCAACCTACTCCCTCATTTAAAAAAAAAAACAACTAAAACCCTTTTGATTAGAATTTCAAGGTCCCTTAACATGCATGCTACATTAAGTACACTTCATCACTGACCAGGAGTCCTTCATCCCTATATTGCAAATTGTTGGGCAGTCAAGTGGTTCAGTAGATAGAGTGCCAGGTTAGGAGTCAGGAAACCAGATCTGGAGTTGGAAAAACCTAAGTTCAAATCAGGCCTCAGACACTTCCTAGCTGATCAAGTCACTTAAACCATTTATCCCAGTTTCCTCATCTATAAAATGAGGATAATAATAGCACCTACCTCCCAGTGTTCTTGTGAGGATTAAGTGAATTAATAATTGAGAAACGCTTAGCACAGTGGCACATATGGCACAATATAATGTTAATTAATATTATTGTTATTGTCCTAAAGTATAAAACCTTTTCTTAGATACCAGCTTCATTGCAGTCTATGCACGTCCCAAAACAAATGTGCTCTTCTACATTTCTTGCCTTCAATTGTAAATGTGAGAGAAACACAACATGTGCCCCTATAATCTTCTGCTTTAACAATCCTTCTGACTGTGAGATACAGGTGGAAAAGTGGATGGGGTTCTAACCGCTGAATCATAAGGATCTGGGTTCAAGGCCTGCCTCTGACACTCTGTGTCATGCTGGCTGAATGATGCCAGACAAGTCACATGAATTCTCAGTTCTCTATGTAATCTCAAAGATAATAAGTTTCCAAGCTATAATGGAGAGGGAGTCCTCTGCTTTCAACCCTTGCACTCAGGAGTGCTCTATACCAAGACAATTACAGGTCTGATCCCAATCCCTTGTTAGTATCATTTGAGCTCATGTGAATCACCAGAATTAAGTGCAAATTACTTCTAATAAGTAAATTTGTGAGTATGTTACTTAAAGAATAATTAACAAATTAGTAATTCCCTGTGCAGTTTGGTTGATTTATATTCTACTTATTTCCAAGAAGATTTTGTAATTTAATACTTCAATACTGTAGGGACCTATACTTTTGCTGCTGTAGGCATTATTCTCCCATCACTGGCACACAGTGTCACAAATCCCTCTACAACCTGGAAGACAATCTGTAATCTTTGCTATGGCTTAAAAAATTCATAAGTATATGGCCTACCTGTTGAAGAGCCTCTCCCAGATTAGCTCAGTATATCCTTAGGTGACAAATACACAGGCCATCATTGGACTTGCATTTCAAGTTTTGTTTTCTTATCTTTTATTTTTCAAAACACTTCAGGGCCAAGAAGAACTTGGATGTCATTAGTACAGCCTTCAAGAAGCCAGGGTCATATATAGTTCATGATAAAGCATCACATCAGGATTAAAGTGAAGGTGAGAATTTATAGGACTTTAAAATAATTTGTGAAGAATTGCTTTTACATGCCAATGGAAATCTGTGTGACAAGACACTTCATATCCTAACTCCAGGCATTTTCACTGGCTGTCCCCATTTCTACAATGCTTTCTCCCCTCATTACTTTCTGGATTCTCTAGTTTCCTTCAAATCTCAATGAACATCCCAATAGCTACAGAAAACATTCTAAATCCCACTTAATTCTAATGCCTTTGCTCTGTAATTTCTAAATTGTCTTGTATATGGTTTGTTTAGTTATAGTTTTTGGCCCCACCAAATGAGCTCCTTGAGAGCAGAGACTGTTTTTGTCTTTGTATATCCAGGGCTTAGTATAATGACTGGAATGTAGTAAGTGTTTAATAAATGCTTGATTGAGAGATTGAATGTCCTTATTCTAATCACTCAGTCTTTCTAACTCTCACCTTTTTCATCTATAAAACACATTAGCATTTGAACTACTTTTCTGACAAGAACATTGTGAAGGAAGTGGTGTACAAGACATAAAACATTTGATAAATGTAAGCTCTTTTTATCATGAGTAATTTGATGCTATAATCCGATATCTATTGCCAAAATATGAGCCCAATGTACTATGTGAAGAGACGTACCTCTGAGATGGGATTGAATGGCTGGGGAGGGAAATAACTGGAGACTGAAAGTCCAACTGATGCCTACAATCAAACAGAAAATAATATAGTAAGTTGATGAAAAAGATATACCATACAATAATTTCATATTATGTTGATTGACGAATCTCTGAACTTAAAGTAGTGTCTTATAGAAAGTCATTAATTGACTGTGGAATTGAGTTTCCTAAAGAAAAACATCACATTCTCTTATTAATTCTTACAATATTTTAATTAGGTAAATAGGATTGAGGTTTCTCATGTAAAAATAGAGGCATAGACAGGTGATGTAATTAATTTAATTAGCAATTCAATATGTAAGCTAATAGAAAACTCATTGATATCTACACTGTTGAGAGCTATTTTATATAGAAATGGGGGGATGTAGACATAATGACTATGTTTTTTCGGGAAGATAGGAATAATTTTTAAAAGCCAATTGTCAAATGGCTACTATTTCAAAAGTCAGATGAAAATGATCAGCAGGTGTAACAGAATGCATGATTACAATGAGATCACAATGGGCAAGGCTGAGGAGAGGACTCTCTAAAGCTGTATGCATCAAAGTCAATAATGGGAGACTGTTGCTAAGGCCAAATACCTATGCTAGTTGAACCAATGAGCACTTATTCTAGGCCCCCTGCAACCTCTATGTACAATGGTGAGTAGAAGCCTCATTAATTTTAGAGACAGAGCTTTTTAAAAGAAAGAAACAGAGTGTAGATGCAATTATTGCTAAATTACTCCTAAAGAAAAGAGCAGCAGCCGTTAAGTGGTTAGTTAGTTTTTATTTATATGCTTATAGAGTGCAGTCATGAAATAGCACCCACTTCTTTTTTCCCTTCTGCTTTGGGGTTGTCATTCTTATAAAACAAATGACTAATTTCCCTAGAAATCCTTGTGTAACCAAGACTAATGGTCATTAACTCCCTAACAACTGAAGAATAGCCTTTAATTTGATATCGCAAGGTACCCCTATCATAGGTCAGATCTTTACCATACATTGATGCCATGAAAAAGAATTTATTTTCCAGTTGTTTTTAAATTCCACTATTCACTTCAATATTATACTCTATATACTAGGATAGGAGGACTCTGGATTTACTTTCTTAGAGCAAGCTTGGCTACATCTCTCCCTCCTTGTACTGTAATACCCAAAGAGATTGATTGTACCTCTTCTCTAAACTTTTAGTCGTATGCCATCATTTTGATGTATACTTCCTACTCCTACACATCATAATTACGGCTCCACTTTAACCATTTCTCATGAATTACTTTTACAAAGGAATATTTACTGTGATGAACAGAACAGTTTATCTTCAATCAATACCTAAGGAAAACATTTTTTCTATTATATTGAAGGAATATAGAACCTCAATCCCTGGGGATTCTGAAAGGTCAAACATAATGAAAGTTTCTGCATAAGATTCATCCCACCAGGTATACTCCCAACATGTACGATAATCTCTGTATGAGAACTTGTCTGTTACTGGTCAGCTTGGTCCCTCAAATTGTTCTGCAACATCTCCCTGCTAGTCTAGCTGGCCAGGAAACCTAGCATGAAGTCTACTCTCTGACCTCTTGATTACTCACCCTCCTGACCTTATACAGTTCACAAGATCATATCCATCTCCAATCTCATTCACTAAAAAGGAAGAAAGAGACATAGATGAGATGGAAGGATTAGCAGGGCCAGGCACTCCCCACTTCATTCAGGTTTCTGGTAAGAGAGGTCTCTGAGTTCCCTTACCTTACTTGGAGGCCCAGAGAAGCTTACCATCCTTCTATGATGTCAGCCAGCCCAGAAAGGATCAGAGCCAACAATCACACTGTGTTTAACACACAGTTAGCCTTCTTGAATTTTTGAGAGTTTTAGCTAAGTGGTCAATGAACAATCTATCTCCTCTTCAAATGGTTAACAGCCCAGAAGTAACCACAGAACACCTTCCAAACCAGGGAGCTGGTTAGTTCCATTGCATATCATGACGACATTCAGAAAACACACCTTTTTCGTAAGGGTGATTCAATCAACTTTCGTGTTAGACTTGCTATTGTTTTTCAGTCATGTCTGACTCTTTGTGACCCCGTTTTGGAAGATTTTTGTTTGTTTATTTTTGGGAGGGGCAAAGATACTCCAGTGGATTGCTATTTCCTTCTCCAGCTCATTTTGAAGAACTGAGGAAAACAGGGCTAAATGACTTGCCCAGGTTCACACACAGGTACTAAATGTCTAAGGCCAGATTTGAACTCAGGAAGATGAGTCTTCCTGACTTCAGGCCCACTACTCTATCTACTGTGCTACTTAGCTGTCCTTCCTATTACACGAACTAGGAACAAATAGCAAAGTTAAGTACAGGGGAAAGGAATTGGTTTTGGACAAAAGTCCTTTCTTTAAATGTAGAGAAACATGGAATTTTCATGAGATAAGTAGCTAATTTCTTGAAACGAGAATCCCTCGTTCAGTGTACAGTTAGAATATAGGTGTCTTGCGGCCTCACCATTTTACAGCTGAGCAAACTGAGGATTAGAGAGGTTAAATGATTTCCCCAGGGTCACACAGCTACTAAGCATCTGAGACAAGGTTTGAACTCAGGTCTTCTTTTTATTATTATTTTTAATATATTTTTGTAACATATTTCCCAATTACATGTTTGAAATTTTTTAACAATCATTTTTAATATTTTGATTTTTAAATTCTCTCCGCCTGTCCCCACACACTCCTTGAGAAGTTAATTTTATATTAATTATACATATGACATCATGCAAGACATATTGACTATGTTGCAAAAGAAAATACAAACAAAACAATAAAAATGGAGTAAAATATATGCTTCAAGCTTCATTCAGAGCTCATCAATTTTCTTTTTGGGGGTGGATAGCATTTCTCATCATGGATCCTTTAGAATTGCCTTGATCAGAATAGCTAAATCTTTAACAGATTATCATCCTTACAATTTTACTATTATTGTGCACAATGTTCTGCTGCTTCTGCTCATTTCATGACGCATGGTGAACTCAGTTCTTGACTCTGGGTCCAACACTCTGTCTACTATTTCACCTAATGACCTTATTCTAAGTGTGTAGGAAAGGGGTGGTGGATGAGGTTCACACATATGGAGTTGGGATCTGGGCTCCAGAAAGGGAAAAACCACATGGCCAAATCTCTGGAGTTAGCCTGAGGCTGTAATCCCTCAACTGGCTTTTCATTGTGGCTTCACCCAATCTCCCACTTCTGTTAACCTAGCCTGGCCTTCCTTTGTCTTACGTCCCAATATATGGCCCCGGCCATTTCCCACCCTTAATCCTACCTAGGCTCCATTCTCCCTTGGCCAAGAGGTCCAGGTCCCAGGAGTCCTGTTCAACCCAGTTTACTGGCCACTCCTAGGTCCCTCCCACAGGCTTTCTGTATATAAAGTCCATCTTGTCTCCATTAAGATGCTAGGATTCTCAAAATCTAGCCACTGCACTGCTTAGATTCTTATAATCTAGCCACTGTTCAGATTTTTATAATCTAGCCACTGCTTACCCATGCTCAGACCCCTTAAGAGGATGTGTCCAATATGATGGATGTTCTAATAAACCTTGTCTTTTGCTGAGAGAAGGCTTGGGTAGAACTCTTTTGGGCAGGAACCGCGTGTTGTGATATTGGAGTCCCAGCACCCCTGAACCCCTAAACCACATCATTTATAACTAGATTTTTCCAAAATAATCGAAAGTTAAACCTTAGCAAGGGATTATTCTTTTAAGAATATTAGGAGTGAAATAAGGCTTCCAGAGAATCATGAAAGAGCTAAAAGAATACCTTTCTTTAAAAGCAAAAGCCAAGCCCCCCAAATAGCCATGGATTCTGAGACCATCTGGATAAAGACAGAAAAGAAACATGCATGGCTATTTGAAGCTTCTTAAACACTGAGTCCATCAAGCTGCCAAAATGGCTTTATGTGACTACAGTAATTGAAAAACAGAAAAGGAATGCCAAAAGTAATATGAGTGATTATGTAAGTAAAAGTTATCTGGGATAGTACAAGAATGTTGGATTCACTTTTCTGTTTCCAGACTGTTTAAATGTGTCATGAACTTTCAGTTAAATTATATGTAAAGTTAATCTAAAAGTTTTCCCAGGTATGTGTTTTGATTTGCTCCCCACATTCAGCCTCCTTTCCTGCCAAGTGAATTAGGAATTTGGAATTAGCAGTCTGTTTTCACAAAGTAGAAGCACCAACCCTCTCTTTAAGCCAACTCCTTATGCCTTTGATATTTCCTCCAACACTGTTCCTACTTCTCAACTTTATCTGTAATCCAGATTTCCCTGATGACACTACTCCCTACACACCCTCATCAGTGGACATTACACTTTTTGCATTCTGATTAATTTCCTAGGCTCAGAATAATGACTTTAAAAATTACATTGAAAACAGCTCTTTAATGTCTCACCTCATAACTCTGCTTTAGGCAACTATCAATAATCCACAATCTGTTTTACTCCTAGCTTACTTGTCGTAGAAATGGCCCACTGAGGGCAGTATTCATGGGAAATTCATTTATTCATTCATTAATTCATTCACCTTTTTTCATTGCTATGAACTTCAGAAATATCAACAAACATGAACATTTCCCTCTACAAAGAACAGAATAAAAAGAAGGCTTGAAGAGTGTGAATCTTTAAATACAGCTTATTTTTTAAAGGCGGGGTATTTCAAATTTAACAAGGCATTACCTATTCTCACCATTTTTATGTGGTTCATTCTGAACCATCTGCATTTTCTCTTTCTTAAAAAAATAATTTTTCAATCAAATGAATAAAATTGGCTTTTCTGTATATATATTACAATAGAAAAGGAAGGTTGCATATAAAACTACAGATTTCTTTTATATGAAACCTACTTTTCTTTTCTAAAATATATATTCAGTATCCAACTTTTGCAGCTCTCCTGCTTGTCTGATATTTTCCAGTATTTTTTTCTCCTCAGTGCATTTTTTAAAAATATTCTTTTTTTTTTTTAAATCAAAACATTTATTGGAGTTTCCAGTCCTAAAATGTATGTTACAAATCATTGAAAAAGACATTTGGCATGCATGTATATTCTTAAAAAACATTTTTTGAAATGATAAAGTCTAGATTATCACATAGTTCTCAGATGCTCTGTATGATGATCTACCATTTCTACTGAAGTTTGTGGGGTTGGCCATGATAACTATCTAACTGAACAAGTCATTTGAACCTTCTTTTTTTACAGCAGTGTTCATGAAGAATACATCCATAATGATCAATGCCCACCATGTAAATAGAACAAAGTTATATAAAAGTTGTATGATTAAAACTACCATTCAAGGGAGGAGCTAGGTGGCACAGTAGATAGAGCACTGGCCCTGGAGTCAGGAGGACCTGAGTTCAAATCTGGTCTCAGAGACATAACACTTACTACTCGTGTGATCCTGGGAAAGTCACTCAAACCCAATTGCCTCACAAAAAAAAATGCTACAATTCAAGTCAAAAGTCATTATCCTTATGAAAATAGTTTGATGTGCAAAGTGATCTCATTCATTTGCAGGCCTTTGGGGCTTGCTTTTCTTTAACAGTTTGTTGCTAACAACTTTAATGTGATAAACTGGGGAGAAATGTTGGTCCTGCCACATCAGTGATGAATCAAGTTTTCATGATCTTTTGAGTTGCACTAATACTTTTCACAAAAGTAACCCCTCTCCCCATCCCACCTCCCCACCCCTGCCCCATTGCTAATCCTAGGATATATTTTACTCAAAGGATCAAGCCAGGTTTCAACACATGCTTTTTAGGGTCATCACTGCTACTTTCACCCAACCATTTTTTCATCTAGACCTTAGCATTTCAAGAACAAGGCATTATGTATATTTCTCTGTAATAATTCTATGTAAATATGGGCAAAACGTTCTTTAATGAACTGCTTTCTTTTCCTTTTTTTCATTTTTTTTGGGGGGAGAGTTCTTCCTGACTCTGAGCCCAGATCTCACTATGTCACCCAGCTGCCTCATGACAACTGTCCTGCCATATCAGTTTCTGCCTACTTTTTACAGGCACAGAGTACCAAAGCACACATCAAAAACATCCACATAGAGAGGAGGGAAGCAAATCCAGTCTTCTACTATGGAACTGCTACAGACTTCATGGATCTTCATGTTCTACAATCTCCCATATGCTGTACTGTGGATCACACGAAGGATGAAATAACATTGAAAGACAGTGTGAAGTTGGCTTAAATATCTGTGCCTTTCCTAAATGAGGCATTGTTGACTCTCACTGATTTTTTTTAAAGGTGCTGTAATGGTAATAGTTTTTTTCTTGTATTTTGTATTCCTAAATACATAACAAACACAATTTAAAAAAATTTTTTTTTAAATTTTGAGCTTGAAATTCTCTCCCTCCCTCCCCAGACCTTGAGATAGTAAGCAACTTGATATAGTTTAAGTGTGTGATGGTGAAAAATATATTTCCATTTTAGTTATGATCATAGTGAAAGAAAACCCAGATCAAGAAAAGTAAATAAATAAATAAAATGAAAAATAGTATACTTTAACCTGAATTCAGACTCCATCAGTTCTTTCTCTAGAGGTGGATAGCATTTTTCATTATAAATCCTTCAGAGTTTTCTTGGGTCATTGAATTGTTGAGAAGAACTAAGTTGTTCACAGATGATCATCATACAACACATCTTTTGGGATTGCTCACTTTACTTTGCA